ACCTGTCCGGGTAAGTTAATAAACGGCTTCGTCCGTCCTGGTTAGCAGGATTCTCTGATTCGGAGAACGGGAGGATGCGCGAGGAGGTGCTGCCATTAAAGCCATCTCGTAGAAAGTTGTACGTGGCGTGCTCTTCTGGGCTCTCCGGGTTTTATGGGACCGAAATCTGATTGCGAATGGCGCCCAGGTGTGACGGCGATGCCTGTCAGGCGGCTGATTATTTGTAGCTTATTGCGCTAATGCGACGCTTATCGCATGAAAATCGCATTAACATCATTTCGGTCTGGGATGGGGACGGAGACGCCTACACGGCCCGGGCTTCCTTCTTGGACCAGCCGCCAAGGATGTTTGATTAGCCAGGACCCTTCCTCATAAGCAAACACTGTGCAAATATCGCATTTGCTGGCCTTGTGTGTGGTGTGCTGTGTGTGGTACGCGTTGTTTGCCTATTTAATCAAGGCAGGCCGGCAGCCATTAAAAGTACAAATATTGGCCTGGACTAGGACTTGTTTGTCCTGGCCAAATAAGCAGCATGTCCAAGGTTGACTGGCGAGCTGTTATCTGTGACCCACTGGCAGCTCACTTATTTATGAGTGTTTCACTTGGAGCCATGCAAATTAGTTTGAATTATTCACGCCCAAGCTGCCCATCAAGGACAAAGTCGCATTAGCAATGAACTATCGTTCTGAGAAGACATTATTTTGAAGCAGAAACTGGCTTTGTTTTGTTTCCACCATATAAGATCGATATATGATATCCATCACTATCAAGACCGTATTAGCTTGTAAGCTCTTTCCGGGCGCCGATTCCGTGTGTCCTTGGACATTAAAGTCTTGCCCCATTCGGTTTGTGGACTGTCAACGGGCGACGCGTCACGACAGCTTCATTTATGCCGCTCGTGCTGCCACACAACAACAACAGCCATAACAGCAGCAACAGGAGCAATAATGGCAGGCTCTGGCTACGTGCCGCCATCCGAGATATCCGAGATATCGTCCTGTGCGTGCCTCGAGGACCAGAAAAAGGAGAAACCTACAACAATGGAGCGCCTCTCGAACTGTCGCGTTTGATGCGCTTTTGATAACTTGTTTGAGTTGACATCTTCTTGTTGCTGCTGTCAACGAGCCCGTCGCCATCAGGTTGATAAATAGTTTCGCAGGTGCGCGACTATCCCTTACCATTCTTGAATTACAAGGATCCTTGAGTTGATTTAAATTAAAGTGCGTCTGCCAACAATTTCCCGCTTGGCCATGCAACTAAGGTTCCGTTTGGCCGTCTACAGGCAAAAATGCTTTGCATTTCCCTCTTCTTATTTTGCCGGCAGGTGTTTCAATTCTCAGGCTCTGTCTGCCTCTGAGAGTTTACTTTTTATTTTCCGGCGCGGCTTTAAAAAGCCCGCATTTGAGAGCAAATAAAGCGGAAACGTAAAAGTTAAGCCCTACACAAAGACGCCCATTTCCTAAGACAAAAAACCCTGAAGCTTTAAATATGGTTATTAGTTTTCAAAGAATTTTGTTGATGTTGCCACTAAAAGCAGAAAATATAATATTAAAAGTTTATTTAGTTTTTTTTATATTACTTTACAATTTATTAATGGTTTTAGAGATAAAAAATAAAAATGTCACAATTGGTAATTAATCTGCAAAGCCTCGTAAATTACCGTAAATTAAATATCAATTTCGGGAAATCGAAGTAAATTTTCATCGATTTTCGGGCCATTGCAATGGCATATTGGGTGTCAAGTGTATAACGAGCACCTATCGATGTTTACGGCGAGGATTTGTCCATAAATAATTCATTGAAACATGTAACAAAAGTGCGTCAAGTGGTCGCACGCACACACACACACGGGCACAAGTGGAGGTCCTTGTGGCATCCGCGCGGCATAGGATTGGATTACATGGGGGGACGCGTCTGCCGCATTTGGCCGGAGTGAGTGTCTATTTTTTATGGCACCCCGGGGAAATGACGTACTATGAATGCCAGTTTAATACACAAAACTTTGACAATATTGTCGCACAGTTAACACGGACATGCACACACGCACACACTCGCCAATCGCCACTCACACCCGCTGTGTTCCACTAACACCAGAGCGACAGAGCAACAGACTTGTAGCCAGACAAATGTGCGAATAAAATTGCTATTTTCGTGCCGCTTGCGTCTATTGTTAGCCAAGTTACTCGTATTCAATACGCACACACTCACCCACGTCGGCACGGGAACGAATGGCAAATAAACGGTTGTTATATCAGCAAATCGATCATTTTTCCGCAGTAAAGCTGAAACCATTGAGTGAGTGGCTGAAGTTCGACCGAGCCAGCAGGCCATTTAGATTTAAAGCAAAGCAATGCGGTGTGTATCTGTCGCGGGCCTGCGTCATGCCGAAAATGGCACACGCAAATAATGTGCGGAGTGAGGGGGATGGGTACGAGGACGAGCGGGGGCCATACATTTGCCAAGTGGCTTCCATTCCTGCTCATAAGCCATTCCTTGGCGGTCTGCTACTGACGAGCTCGCCCGGCCCTTAAAAGTAGGCAACAGTTGAGCGACAAGCTCGTCGGCCATGCTTGATTAATTGCTCGCCATCCGCCGTCATTTGCATGCATTAGCAGCACTTAAATTGAAATCAAAACAATTTACAGACGGCACTGGGAGAAAATTAAAAGTATAAGCTATTGATTATTAGTTAACCGTTAATACTAGCCTTTTTATTCAATAAATTAGCAAACCTCAGAAAAGACAGTCAATTCTTTCATAATATATAGTAGATGGAACCCGACCCTTACTACATATGGTAAAAGTCACAGTAATTAATACCGTACTTATACTTCATTTACAAAATGTTAGAATATTTAAGAAACAAAAATTTGAAAAGAATCAAATAACTCAATATTTTCATGTTAGTTTTCGTGTAATATATGTAAATCAATGTATTTTTTCGTGATCAATGCAAGAATTAAAAAAATTTGTAACTTAAGCAGGTGCTTTGTGCTCCGCATTATGATATACTAAGTTATAATTCGATTCCCAACTTAATTTATTTTCTATTCGAAAAATAGGGGAAATTATATGGATTTAACTTGTTTTGGTTTCAGTGCATAGAAGATGAATCTAGAGCCTTCTGTTATGACCTCACTTTCTGCCGAATAAAAGGAAAGTACACAAATAAAATCCCTGGCTCGGCGCTCTCTCCTTGAGCGGTTTTATTTAAGTTTCGCGCTCATTGTTTTTATTTGCCTTTAATAGGCGGACGAGGAGTTGTGGGTGGCTGAATGGGTGGATGATGGCGTCCCTCGACGGCAGGCAACTTTAGTGGCTGCCCGTGTTTGCTTTAACATTGAAAAAGTTTTTTCTCCCGCTTTCTTTGGAGGCAGCGACTCATAAAGCAAGCCAAACCTCGGCTTTCCTACCTCCTAGGTGAGAATGAGACGAGATGGGTGTGGGGTAAAAGTCGGCAAAAGTTTTCCCACCAACAAAAGGTCACTAAACAATTGACAAAGTCGCTGTGCTGCTGTCTCGGGTTCCGCAAACGCCATTTAAAAAGTTTTGCATAATAGTTGGACCAGGCACTTGTCAAGTGCCGGTAAATGAAACATTTGCCGAGGCAAATAATATTGCTTTTAATTTCCTAATAAAGATTTGTCGTACTTTAAAACTACAATTAAAGTTGTCAACCTAATAAGCTATGTATACATAGAAATATATCTGTCGAGTTGTATCGAAAAATGATTGAAACCCAAGAGGGGGTTAATCTATAAAACAATTTTCTTATTCTTTTGGCTTGGGAGCTATTATTTAAAGTGAATGTATTCTAAGATTAGAAAGTGCAGAACTAAAACACAAAAAACTTTGCAACTTAGACTATAGCAATAAATACTTACTGAAAAATAACGTCACAAAAAATCCTTACAACAAAATATACATATATAAAGTATATGTCATAAATTACAAACAAAATTAGAAATGTGTAGGTAGGAGTATTATTGCAATTAATACAACACAGAAGTGGAAGAATTTTCGAATCCTAAGTAGTCGATCTGCAAGATCTTATGTACTGAATATTATAAATTATTATTTTTTGTTTAGAGCTTTGTAAAAGCCAACATGAAAATACCTATTAATATAAAAGCATAAATCTTAAAAAGAAAGTATCTATTAGACTTCATCATGATATGTTTTTTTATCCTAGACAAAAATAACCATAAAAACATATTTCCATACATACAACATACACAGTCTTCAGCCCACCATTAACTAAGAGACTAAGTAGCCATATTATATTGCTGTTTTTAAGCCAATCACTATAGAATCATGGATACCAGAACTTGGACTCTACTCTAACGTTCAAAGCGGCTCTTATTGTTAATAAATTAATTAAAGAGATTATTAATTGGAGAATTTAATAATTATTAACCCATAAATTCGTTGGTTTAATTTTTTCATTAAAACTATTTTCAAATAGACAACTGTTTGTGCCAGGTATATATTTTAAATATTTTCAAAAAATGAGAAGACTGCATATATATTATTGCCTTATTTTTAATAGCGTATTCATCTAAACATATTCAAAAATGTGTTATTAATTTATAGGAAATTAAAAATATCCTACCGGAAATTATTCTGTTTCCAAACCCAAAAAAATAGATAGCTGTATATCAATTGTATAAGAGTCAGGTAGCGTATTCAGATAAAGATTTACAAAAATATGTTATTAATTTATAGGAATTTAAAATTATCCTATCTGAAATTATTCTGTTTTCAAACCCAACCAAATACACAATTTTAGGCTTTTGTCATTCATGCTGGTTTATGGTCCTACTAAAAGAAAAGCTTCGCTAAAATGTTTTGCTTTGAACTATTTCATTATTAGCCTTACAACAACAGTTTATGATAACAAATGTTATGAATAAATGATAAACTTTATATAATGCCCAAAGAAGACTTCCACGGTTAATTCGTGTGGTCAATTTTAGTACGTTTTTATTTTTTAACATTAGTACAGCGACGGTCACACTGCGCCCCCAGTTTGTACAAAAATTTTGTACGCCAAATAAACGGAAATTGTTCTTAACAAATCGATAATTGCAAACGCAGTGCCGTTTCAATTGCAGCCGAGTCGTAAAAAATGTTGGTCAACGAAGCTAGGCAACTTCTGAGCCGCGTCGGCTCCGTGGCGGCACGTCACCAGGTGAGCGGAGGACAAGACGATCCACGGGTTATGGCCAGAATGTTCGGGGTGGGGGCGTGTGTTGTGCGGCTTTTTGGCCAGTCCAATTATATAAGGTGGAAAACGGGGTACGGGAGAGACGTGCCATCTATGAACACTCCGGGGAACAAGTCGCAATTAGGGAAATTGCCAACGACGTTCGGTGTTATGTAAACGATTTTGCATTGGGCGTCGGTGAAAATTGTATTGCCGTGACTGCATTCACTGGTTGAACAACATTCTCCCCATCTCCCCTTCAGTTGCGAGCTATCAGCAATGGCACCGCACAGCTGGAGCAGCAGGCGCAGCCCAAGGAGGCCAAGGAGCCACAGGTGAAGAAGTTTGAGATCTACCGCTGGAACCCGGACAACGCCGGCGAGAAGCCCTATATGCAGACGTACGAAGTGGATCTCCGCGAGTGCGGACCCATGGTGCTGGATGCCCTCATCAAGATCAAGAACGAACTTGACCCCACGCTCACCTTCCGTCGCTCGTGTCGCGAAGGCATCTGTGGCTCCTGCGCCATGAACATCGGCGGCACCAACACCCTGGCCTGCATCAGCAAGATCGACACCAACACCTCCAAGTCGCTCAAGGTGTACCCGCTGCCGCACATGTACGTGGTGCGCGATCTGGTGCCGGACATGAACAACTTTTACGAGCAGTATCGCAACATTCAGCCCTGGCTGCAGCGCAAGTGAGTCCTTGTCCCTAGCGTTTGGCTAACGCCTGTTAATCCGTTATCCGCCTACCCTTTCAGGAACGAGGCCAGTGAGCAGAAGGGCAAGGCTCAGTATTTGCAGTCCGTTGAGGACCGTTCCAAGCTGGACGGCCTGTACGAGTGCATCCTGTGCGCCTGCTGCTCCACCTCGTGCCCCTCGTACTGGTGGAACGCCGAGAAGTACCTGGGCCCCGCCGTGCTTATGCAGGCCTATCGCTGGATCATCGACTCTCGCGACGAGAACGCCGCTGAGCGTCTGGGCAAGTTAAAGGACCCATTCAGCGTCTATCGGTGCCACACCATCATGAACTGCACGCGCACGTGCCCCAAGGGCTTGAATCCCGGTCGCGCTATTGCCGAGATCAAGAAGCTGCTCTCGGGCCTGGCCTCAAAGCCGGCTCCCAAGTTGGAGACAGCGGCACTGCACAAGTAGAGATGTTTCCCGCTCTACTTTCCAGTTCGTGCTTTCCCCTTTTTTCCTTTAGCAGTTGCCACGCGTCCGCAAACCTGTAGAAAGGAACAACAGCTCCAGTGCTAGAACTCCAGGAACCTTGCTTACTATGTTTTAGTTTATTTAAGCCTAAAGTAAACGACACTTGTTATTACAGTTTGTAAAGGGATCGATGTGTGACGCGAGAATAAATAACTAATTGTGTATCCACCAGCCGGTGCCTCTTGCATCCGATTCAGGGGGCTGTGGGCGAGGTCTCGTCATTCATCTGGATGTCGTCAGCGGAGTAGAAGTCCTGTGTGACTGGAATAACGCGGTCGTTTGTCTCTTCGTCCTCCTCGTCGTGGCTATCCGTGTCCTCGCTGTCGTCGTTAGCTGCACGAGAAAATTTTTTAGTAGGTTTAACTTCTGGTGGAGTTTCTTCCACTCACCGTCCTCGTCGTCAGTCTCTATTCCTGGAATTGTGAGCATCTTGCCTAGGGGCTGGAGATCTGTGCCAGCTGTTTTAAGCGACTCCCGCTGCAGAGATCGGAAAAATAAAGCAAGGAAATGGAAATCAAGGACTGAAAACACTCACCCAGTTGCTGCGTTCATCCTCATAGCGCCGGGTCTGGGCTTCCTCGCTAACGGAAGCCGGAGCCATGTCCAGCCAGTAGCGATTCGCAACGGAGACTTTAAGCGTGGGAAAGAAGGGAATCATCGACATTTTTACTGCGTCCTCGAGTCTGTGGCCTGCAATCTTTTGTTTTTATTTTCCCGGACGCCTTTGGGGATCTGGCAACGCTGCCATTGATGGTGAAAAATAATACCAAAACAAGCAGAGGCGTCCGCAGGGGATGCATTTATAAAATCGCCCACATCGTTAGATTTGCTGAAGTCTATCGGATATATCTGTCAAACCCTTAACTTATTCTAAAAACATATGAAATATATGTACATATGTAAATTTGTATGTACTAAACAAAGATGTGGTTTTTGCACGTTTTCTACAAGACTCACAGTACTTCTGCAAAATTCTTTAATTTACCATATAATAGCTATAAAAAAAGACAATCACTATGATTAATGCATTGCCCGCGGATATTCACTGGTAGTACAGTTCCAGATTCATCCCGTCGTGAATTTCATCTGTAAGAATGAATATGTAGTTATTGAGTTTCTGGTGGGTTGCACTTAGGCGTACAGTCGGATAGACGAATGGGGTCCTTGTAGATCGTGTACCACTTTTTCAGGACTATCTTCTCGTGTTTGGTGCCCGTTTGTGCCGCAATGAGTTTCTTAAGGTCTCCAATTGTGTCGTCTGGGTTACACTTGACGCGCACCTGCCAAATACAAAAGCTTTTTAACCAGTTACTATATGCACTAAAGTTATTTACCTTCTTGCCCAGGCGATCGTTGCACGTTATTTCAATCATTTTTTAGTTTTTGGTTGCAATTGCTGGAACGATTTGTTTTTGTCGTGGCGGTGTAGCCGGATCAGTTAAGAGCGGTATTAAGAGTATTTTATATGTGTATATAGGGCTGCCAGATCGTTCCTAAAATTTTATTATTTCCTAATGTTTCACCAAAAATGAAATAATAAAAGAATATAAAATTAAATAATATAATTAATATATAATTAAATCATGTTGAAATTAAGCGACCGATGTTTTGCCAAAAATCGATGCATCGCTTAATATCGACTTAAAAAAAAAACATCGTAATACATTGCTAAAAAACTATCGATGCTCGATGCACCGAAGTTTTCAGCTTCGTTATTTTTATGCTAGTTGCCTCTGGTATCACTATTTTGGTATTTTCATTTCGGTAAGACGTGATTCTCGCCGCGCCAGTGGAGGCTATTTTTAAAACCGCCGCGGCGCCTGCTACCAAGCCACACACTGTGCTAAACTAAGCAGAAAGAATTCTGCAAGTGCGGCGGGTCCTGAATAAGTACAAAGTATGTGAATAATTAATGTGCAAACCGTCCAAAGCGGTTTCCATTGCTTAATCGAGGTTGTTGTGTTTGTGTGTGTATGTGTGCGTGCTTCATTTTTTACAGCTAAGCTAGTCGCTGCCGGCGCTGACGCCGACGTTTGTGACGCAGCTTCGGAAAACTTGTTTGGGTTTTCATTTCACCGAAATACCTAGTGCTTGCGCCCGTGTTGCGAACACATTTTGGGCAGTTTGTGTACATATATATTGATTATCGTTTGATGTTTGTGTTTGGCGTGGTCGCAGAAGCACCCTGTGCGTCGCCTTCCCACCCCTCGCGTCGTTTTCAGAGTTTCCCACCCGAGGAATTAACAAATCGTAGCACTCCACGCCACGGTCACTGGCAAGCAATTCGCGAGCCGAATACGCCTGCGCCTATTTTTAGAAGCGTCTTTCTGGCCTGCCTGCAGGCTGCTGCCTCCCCATTGCATTCTAATTAAAAACCGGGCACTGCGCTCATTTCACTTCTACACGCATCGCGTTGCATAATGCGGCGTTATGCTCGATCCACTCCCTCCTCGGTGGGCTCACTCGAGCATTAAAGCAAAGATTACCCACAAGTGTGTCAATCGTTTCGACATTGCCCTTTGTTTTGGGAATCCGTTTAGGGCACATAAGACTGTTCCAGCTGCCCAATTGTAAACAATCCACGCCCCGATCTCCATATGTTTACTCGAATTTTGTATCTGGCTGTGTTAATTATTTTTCTTCTCTTGCAGCCACCACCGAGCAACCCAACCTTTTGTGGGCTACGGGAAGACGAGAGGAGAAGCAAGACAGAATGAGTGAAGAAACCTACCAGATAGAGACGCGTCGCCGGTCGCGATCGAAGACGCCGTTCCTCCGCTCGAGCTGCGATCATGAGAACTGTGAGCACGCCGGCGAGGAGGGCCATGTGCACCACCACGTCAAGAAGAAGTCCTCGGCGGCGCCCAATGTGCAGTGAGTACCTGGGAAACATATCCAAATATATCTCTCCATATAAGGAGAGGGGGAAGGGGCAGTTCCATTTACATTGCTCATTTGAGCCGTCGCGTGAGGGTCGGTCACGTCACAACCAAAGCAATAACCCCATCGCCGTCTGTGTCTGTTTGAACGGTGTATGTTGCTGCCATGACGTCACCTCCTTGTTATTCACGCTCGCAGTGAATCTACATTTCGAAATAACGAAACGAAAACGAAGGCAAATCCACATACAGGGTGCGGCGACTCGGCGAGCTTCGTTCGCTTTTGGCGCGCAATTCAAGCGAGAGTCGTAGCCATTCATTTGCTTGATGGCGACATTCGGCCGTCAGCTATTCGGTTTTCACGTTCTGGCCACGAAAATGAGCATGTTGGGGCGTCGGGCTAGCAGCCAATAGCGTCGAAGGCCATTTGGCTTTATGAGCATATTTTTGTATTTTTGTTTTGATACGCTGTACTAGCGCAGTTAGACCAGTTTCTGCGAGCACGTTATCAGGGACTTACTCACATTTAAACATTTCCGTTAAATCTCACCGAACTGCTATCTACATCCCAACTTTGCAGAACGATAGTGGAGGAGCATTTCGTGGAGTCGAGCAGCACTAGGAAGAATACTCGGAGCAAGGCCTTCGCCCAGTTAACCTCGGACTACTCGAGCGACGACATGACACCGGAGGCCAAGCGCAAGCAGCAGACCTCGACCACCACCTCCACGGTCACGTCGATCCTCACAAAGCGCTCGGGCGGCGCCACATCTACGCCGCGAAACAGGAGCCAGCTGGAGACCACACAGAATACGCTGAACTCCGCCCAGGAGAAGCTCAGCCAGTCTAACGGCAACATTAGTTCCGGGAATATCAGCGACTACCTGGCCTACATTGAGTACAGGGATGCCGGCGAGTACTGGAAGTAAGTACAGTAACACTAGAATTCTCAGAGCTTGGGCTAATCGTTTTATATGTTGCAGCAAAACCCCCAAGACGGACTACACCTACTCCGAGCTGTCACCCCACCGCCGTCACCTGGCCCCAGGAATTGTGGCCATGCCCAACATGTCCCGGCGCAGCCTGGGCAACCATGATGAACGGGTCAATTACATGGTCCAGCAGAACCCCGAACAGGAGGAGTTCATCCGCCGTCGATATCAGGCAAAGTACACACAGCAGGCCAACTACGACTCCGCCGACGAACTTGACGCCACTTTCGGGCAGCAAAAGCAGAGTTGGTGGCTGATCCGTCTCATCCAGCTCGTCGTGAGCACCGTCACCACAGTGTGGACCCGTGTGACCAACATCTCTGCCACAGAGACAAATGCATATCACAACTATTATGCCCGGCGTCAGCAGAGCCAGCAGCTCGGATTTTTCGGGAAGGTTGGACAAGCTGTGGCAGCCGGATTCTCGAATCTGCTGCGTTATGTGTACCTTTTCATTGGGTCTGTGCTGAGTCTGGACACATGGCTGCTGCGGTCTTCGGACGCGGAGAACAAGTCAAAGAAGAGATTCCTCATATTTCTACTGATCCTGCTTCCCTTGCTGTTGTTGACCGGTGAGTATTTGGCATGAAAAGCGATGTAAAGTTAAATATGTGTGAGCGTGCGCCCTGCTGACCTTGGATCGGGTTAGCTACCAATGACATGTATGTGGTTCACCTCTGTTGGATTTATTTATACACTCGGCTGGCCGTTGACCTCGCCAACCTATATAAAAAGTGGATTTTGGCCACGTGATAACACGCATATTTAAATTTACTGACGCCAGCTGCCAGCTTCTAGCAATGCCTAATAAACTTCGCCTTTGCAGGTCTGTTCTATTACCTACACCCCAATGAAACTTTCCCACCCAAATCCTTTACCGAATACACGTTCACCTTACCTGAATTGCCCCAGATCAATGTAGGCGATTACCTAAACCAGGCCCAGTACGAGTCCCTGCGCTCGCAGGCTGCCGAGCAGGCAGTGCGCGTGCGGGACTGGGCCGATGACTATTTGTTGTATCTGAAGACCATTGGTCAGAACGTGGTCAACAAGGGGCGTCAGATTTTTCAGGCCGACGATCAGGTTTACTATGAGCGTATTTAGGGAGCATTTGGAATGGGGATTCTACCGTTTTGTTTACGAACTGCTGCAGCAGTTCTTCAATTGATAGGATCTTGTTGAGAGAGCCGCTCTCGGTTTTCTTTATGAACAATTTTGAGTACAAATTGAAGCATTTGGTCCGCGTTTCGTCCGTCCGCTGCATCTATTGTATAGTTTCGTCGATACATTATTCCTTAGGCGTAGGCACACACCACATTTATCCCCTCATACTAACCCCATACAATTCCCAACAACAAAATGCAACATCACTGGCTGATGGAAGAAGGATAGAGCTCGCCGCTGTTCAATTTGCAGACTTTTTGCGTATAAAAAATTAGGGCCCTCATCCATCCAGTTGGATGAACGCCCTTCGAAAATCTTAATTGTTGTCAAACAACGTTTAACTTTGTAATTTGTTCACTGTTTGGCTTTGTCTGTAAAAAAAAATAAACTTCAAACGATTTCTTACAACCCATGTCACGTAACAAGAATAGTTGGTTTTATTTGCCATTTTTGTTGGAAGTTCGCTAAATGGTAAGTAGAATGCAAAACAAGCAATATTAGTTGGCCAGAATCGAACTCTATCCATCCTTCTGCATTTGTGTGTGTTGGAATTGCCCCAAAAACAAGGTTCCCCTTACCTCGGTTCACTTGATATTTTCATTTGTGGGGAACTGAAACAGAAAATGTAGAAGGATTGCCAACTAATAGTGCTTTGTTTCGCTTTTCTCTGGCCAGGCTGGTCTCTGTTGCAGGAAAATCAAAGGCAGGGCTTCGAGTCCCTAGTGTCGCTGCCTTTGACCCTTTTGGGCACTCTGCAGACACGTCTGCCCTCTGGAGCCACCTGGAGTGCTTGGCTAAAGGAGCGTCTTGCCGTAGAAGAACATCAGCAGGTCGAGGCCGAAACCATCAAGCTCAACATGGCCAGCATTGAGAAGGATATTCAGAAGGCTTTGACTGCGGAGGAATATGAAAACATTTTGAACCATGTCAATAGCTATGTCCAGCAGTTGGTGGATCTGAAGGTGCAGCAGCAGCAATCAGCAGAAAAAAATCAGCAACTTTCACCGCAACAAGTTCAAATCGTCGTTCAGCTAATACAGGAAAACCTGCAGGAATTTGCCCAGCAATCGAAGCTCAGCGAACAGAATCTGTCTGATTTGGCCGGAAAACTGCGGCTAGAGCTGATGCAGTCAGGAGTGTTGAATGCTGGTGAGACCAAGCTATCGTTAGACAATCTGGAGGAGATAACCAAATTGATAAAGGCCGAAGTTAGCCTGCACGAATCTCACTACACGCTGCAGCTGGACAAAATTGACATTGAGGCGCTCCTGGAAAGAATTTTGGGATCTCCAGAACTAGCAGATTTTGTAGATGCTCGGATTAATCTTCGGGTGCAGCAGCTTGAGGCGAAGAAGAGCTCTGGTATTCATCCTGTCGAAATACAGCTAGAGCATCTGAACAAGGAGATCGCCTTTATAAAGCTGGCTCTGTCCGAAAAGCAAGCAGAAAACGCGGATCTGCACCACTCTATAAGCAATTTAAAGCTTGGTCAGGAGGACCTAATGGAGCGAATACACCAACACGAACTGGCCCAGGATCAGCGCTTTAGCGGGCTGCTGGCTGAAATTGAAACTAAGTTGGCGTCTTTGAACGATTCGCAGTTCGCTCTTCTCAATAAGCAGGTCAAGCTCTCCTTGGTCGAGATTCTGGGCTTCAAACAACAGTCTACCGCTGGCGGTGCCGCGAGCCAACTGGACGACATCGATCTACAGAACTGGGTGCGCAGCATGTTCGTGGCCAAGGACTACCTAGAGCAGCAGCTGCTGGAGCTCAACAAGCGGACCAACAATAACATTCGCGACGAGATCGAGCGATCCAGCATACTGCTGATGAACGACATCAGTCAGAGACTCAAGCAGGAAATGCTGCTGGTGGTGGAGGCCAAGCACAACGAGAGCACCAAGGAGCTGAAGGGTCACATACGCGAGGAAGAGGTGCGTCAGATTGTCAAGACCGTTCTGGCCATTTACGATGCGGACAAGACGGGCCTGGTGGATTTTGCCCTGGAGTCGGCCGGTGGACAGATACTCTCCACTCGTTGTACGGAGAGTTACCAGACGAAGTCGGCTCAGATATCGGTTTTCGGCATACCCCTTTGGTATCCCACCAACACTCCTCGGGTGGCCATTTCACCCAATGTGCAGCCAGGCGAGTGCTGGGCCTTCCAGGGATTCCCAGGCTTCCTAGGCAAGTGTGCTGACAGTTGAGTACTTGAACCTATGCTAATTAATATAATTTTGATCTCTGCAGTGCTAAAGCTTAATTCACTGGTTTATGTCACCGGATTCACTCTGGAACACATACCCAAAAGTCTTTCGCCCACGGGAAGAATAGACTCGGCTCCTCGCAATTTTACCGTTTGGGTAAGTTTTTATTATGAATTATAAAGATTGAAAATTGATTAATCGGATATTGTTCTCAGGGATTGGAACAGGAGAAAGACCAGGACCCCGTGCTGTTTGGCGAGTATGAGTTCGAGGATAATGGCGCCTCGTTGCAGTACTTTGCCCTTCAGAATCTGGACATCAAACGGCCATACGAGATAGTCGAGCTACGCATCGAAACCAACCACGGTCAGCCCACCTACACATGTCTATATCGGTTTAGAGTCCATGGAAAACCGCCAGCCTCATAGATCAGCCCTTAAACAATCCCTCTCGTGTGACCTAAGCACTGTAAGGTGTACATAATGTCTGTGCCTTAAGAAGGAAACTCAACAATATGCATATTACTGCGAGAAGTAGATCGAATGAGCGCAGGCGAACTGTGTAAAAAGTAAGGCTATACGTAGCAGTTAAGTGTTTGTACCATATCGTAGAATTGAAGTGCTTGTAGTCACTTTAGGTTACCTTGTACATAGTATACTAAGGGCCTTGTGTCCACTGTCCACCTAATGTCCTATATTATTTATTTCGATAAAGTTTACCCTCGGAAATCTTTCGTAGTTCCTTTAAGTCGCCTCTACTAACTACGCTAACTTTATCGTGTTTGCCATTTAAAAAAGCGTTTTGAACTAAATAGTCATATATATAGTTTGTCTGAGCCGTAAGCTTGCTGCTATAGTGTGTAAGTTATTACCTAAGACCTTATAATAACAGGATGTATAAAGCCCATGGCATATGTCTGTATATTGCCATGTCAAATGACGTTTTTCATCTTCTTATTAATAGGTCTTTATTACTAAGTTTAAATGTTTAACCAACTGAAACGGAATCAACCTGAACCAACTCTGAAACTATGAAATAAAACTGAAGAAACTCATTGAATTACTACATTTTCGAATCTAATGAGACCAAAAAATATCTCAACCCGCTTTCAGACCAATCCAATCCAAGTTATCTGTACTCGTGTACGTACAATATATATATTTCTAAAAGTGAACCCAAAAATAGTTGTTAATTAAAACTGTACTTCTATTGTTATATCTTGTAAACTTACTTAATTGCTATAGTTTGTTCTTTAAGGCTTCATCCTATTTTTTTTACAATAAATGCGTTGCACGGAATAATGAAAACGTTTCTGACTTAAAAGGGATGCAAAAAATAACTGTCAAAGCCATGGCACGTAATTAACCCTTCCCTTTCCTGGGCTGCCAGTAATTAGTCGTCTTTTTTACGGCAGCATAAAGATTAAACAGGGAATGTAAAAAGATCAAAATCTGCTGTTGCCAGTGGCAGTTGTCGCCGGGGAGCTACTAGGTACTTCCTTTAAGTGCAAATCCCGGAATTGAGCTTTAATCATCATTTCAGATAATGTTCACTTGCATGAACTTGTTCAGTTGCTGTTATTAAAAAAATACTTTTAATTTTATTGCCAAGGTTCAGTGTTCATTATCAAGTTTCTTAAATGTTTTCTGTTCAAGGCTCACTTGCTCAATTGTTTACTGTTTAAAAACATAACACCTTTCAACGACTAGCGGTATATCCTGTTCATTTGGTTAAACTTGTTCATTTGCCTTTTTAAAGCTATTTGTCCACTTCTCATTGTTCATTGCTTAGTTTTGGTTTAGTGGTTCACTGTATATTTTTCCGTTCTTCACTTGTTGACTTTTGATTGCTCGAAAATAAATAATATGACATTGAAATCGATACAAACCCATTTAAGTAAAGATGGTAACGTTTTTGTGGTGGTCACAAAAATTTTTATGAAACAAGCAGGAACTTAACAACAAAAAAGCTACAAAGGGAAACAAATGAGCAGAAATAAGAAAGATCAGCCAGAACTAAACAAAAATGAGCAAAATGGGACAAGTGAGCAAGAATGTGCAAACAAGGCGAAATTAAACAAGCAATGAAGAATCATTAGGAATGAACATGTTAAGTTCCTCAGTTTTTTGTTCACTCACGAGCAACCTAGCACAAGTTACATTTTCGTCGTTGTTGTTAACCTGATTTGGCAAACGTTTTCAACCGATAAATTAATACGAAAGGCATTTCCCATGCTTGGGTAATTTAATATGAAAATACCTTTGGAACTGCCGGCTGACTGACTGCGCAGGGATGTGCAGTTCCCCACAACGACTAATGTAAATTGTCATTTAATTTGTTGCACGCGGGAGGGGATCCGGGGCGGCAAGTCAAAGGATTTCATATTCGAGCGCCAGCACAAGGCATGCACTTAATTAAAGCTCGCTTTTTGGTTGAAACAAGAGATGGTCTGGCAGCGATGTGAATGGTATCATTCCGCCAAAGGTAGCGCCTGCGAATGCATGAAATTTCCCCAAATAGAGAAGCCACCGCGCTGCTCCGGACTTCCATTAGACAGAAAATGCCAAGCCCTGCCAGGAAGAAATACAGGACTCTGGCATGTCAATGCTTTGTGCTCCCTCGTTTGAGTCTAAATTACAGGCATTGCTCACGCGTTTTGTGTAATTACAGGGGATGCCCCTGCTAACACACACACACAGGCATTAACTTTAATTGCCAGTGGGCCTAAAAACTTTTAATTTTGTTAGGCGCAAATTCACCATATTCATTTCGCACCTGCTCTCGATGGTTAGAAAAATAAATGGCCCAACGGCATGCAGCAGGTTTAATTTGTTTACACAAATCTTGGGCAAATGCCAGGCAGCCAGTAACCACAAGCGCCTGATGAACTCCTCGCGCAAGGGCATAAAAAATGGCAACAACTTTGAGCACTCTCGCTGCGGCAGGGAAAGTTTCGTCCTGCGAGTGTGTAACAATTAAACTGCAGCTAAAAATAGTGACTAATGAGAAAAGTTTCCTCCAACAACGGTTGTAAAAAATAAAGGCGCCCGAACTAACTTCTCTGGAATGAGCTGTACTGAACTGAACTGAGCAGAGCTGAGCTGAGCGGAGTGTTTAAGTTGGCAGGAACTTTTCTTTTTTTCTTCTATTTTGTATTGAATTCGCTGGCGTGTCGGGGAACAATTTGCTGGCATTAATGGCGGCGGGATCAGCCAGCAGCTGGAGTGTGCCGGCCATAAAGGGAGTTGCAATCCAGCCAGGACAATAAAGCAACACTCATATCACACTTCTGCCCCTGGGTTGCGGAATAACTTTGCGGAAAGTTTTGGGCCTGCCTTGATAAGGACACTTTTTTCGTCTAGTTTTTTCCCGATAAAGTGCAAAAAGATGCTTTATTTTACGTGGGTGTGTTAGTGTGTATTACACCACGGAAAATTGGTTACTAGTTGGGATCAAATAAACAGTTAAAGGAACGGTTAGGAAATTAGTAAGCAAGAGATAAGATACTTTTTCTGTTCGTATTTGAAACAGCTATTAAGTTCGATTGATACATAAATTATCATTAAGAAATCGCGATCCATTAATAATTATTATGAGTTATAGTTCTTCGGGTCCCAAAAGGAGCTAGTTATATATATCAAAGATAAACTGCTAACGCGGCAAGTAAAGGCAATGATTTCGCAATCAAAATCATAAAAAATGTCTTATATTCTGGGGAAAATCTTTTATATTAACAAAAAAATTAAAACATTTCTTGAAGAATTATAATAAAGACAAGAAAGGAAGCTAACTTCAGCACGCCGAAGTTTATATACCCTTGAAGATAGAACTTTTATGACTAGGAATCCATGCAATATAAATTATATACATTTGTGTTAAAAAACAATGAAGTAATACCTGCTTTCATTTCATTCACCTATACATTTTATATTTGCAGTTTTACATTCACAGATTTGCATTTTTCCTCTACATCTAACGATCGTTTGTATGGCACATATGTGATATAGTCGTCCGATTTTCATAAAATTTAACACAAAAATTACGACTGATATAAAATGGCTATATTTCAAATTTAATGAAAATCTGCTGAAAACTGAAAACGTTATAATTTTTAATTGTATTCATTTCTTGATCGTTCCTATGGCAGCTATATGATATAGTAGTCCGATTTTCATATAACTTTACACAAATTTGTAGATTAAAAGAAAATGGCTATATCTCATATTGATGAAAATCTGGTTTTAACTGAAGAAGTTCTAATTTTTAATTGTATTAATTTCTCGATCGTACCTATAGGAGCTGTTTTATATGGTAGTTCAAGTTTCGTAAAATTGTATAATAATATAAACTGGCTATTCTCAAATTTAATGGAAATCTATTGAGAACTGGAAAAGTTCTATTTTTTAATTGTATTAATTTCTCGATTGTTCCTATGGGAGCTGTATTATATGGTAGATCGAGTTTCGTAAAATTTTAAACAAAATTGTAGAATAATATGAAACGGCTATATCTCAAATTTGATCCAATTCTATTGAAAACTGAAAATGTTATAATTTTTATTGTAAAAATTTTCCGATCATTCCTATGGCACCTATATGATATAGTCGTCTGATCTGGCCCGTTCTGACATATATACGAGTAAGAGTATATAGAAGACTAACTACAAAGTTTCATTCCGATAGCTTCAAAACTGAGAGACTAGTTTGCGTAGAAACGGACAAACGGACATGGCTAGATCGACTCGGCTGTTGATCCTGATCAAGAATATACATTTTTTATATAGTCAGAGGTGCCTCCTTCACTGCGTTGCAAACTTCTGACTGAAAATATAATACCCTGCAAGGGTATAAAATAAATATCCTTGACCCCACGGTGCCAATTTTACATCAACATTTTTTTTAATTATATCGTTTTAGAATTGAAAAATTGTAAGATGAATTTCAATATATAGTAGACGCATTACGAACACGCATTACACACTTCCACTATGTGGATGTCCTGCTGCTCTCGCATGTATCAACTATAAATTTGTTGACTTTTACTTATACCATTGACCTTCCTGTAATATTATAGTCTGTAGGGAAGTCAGAAAATGATGCGATATCCAAATTATTCTTATAAACAAATATAAAAAAATAAATTGGAAAGGCTAAGTTTAAGTTGTAAGTTTTAAGCTCTTTATAGCTCTGAATGTCCTTGCGTTCGTAACATTACAGTGCCTAAAACGAATGCAACCTTATTAAGCAGTTCTGAATTATATCAGATTGTTTTTTTAAGGATTTGCAAGTTAGCTTGTTGTCTTTTTTTATCTAAGCCGTTTTAAAAGTTGTATAAGAAAGTACAGTATGCGTCAGAATGGCTTTAAATCATAGTAACTGAAAACGAAAAAGTGACTGAAAGATCAATAGGCATATTGCCAAACAAACTTATTTTAAACAGTCCGTGCATATACTTTATACTTTTGTTTTCAAATTCCATTTGCTTAATTGTGGTTCAAACATTTGTTGAGTAGTTCATAAAGCTTAACCACCATTAAATGCCATAAGCAAATGCACAAATATGTGCATGCAATGGCAAGTTAATCTCTGTTAGCACTCGAAAACAGCCTTTATGGCGACTGGCGGAGATGGGCTGCGGGGCAAGGTTGACGCCGAATTCAGTGCAAATATGATTTGGGGGTTATGGATTGTGACACTGGCCCCCACTGGCTTCCGCAAACAGTTTAAGCGCGGTACAGCGGAGCCGGAGTCAGGACCGCAGCCAGCTCCGCATTAGATATGCGCATACATTGAGCGGCATGACAAACTTTTGTTTGCAATGCAAATCTGGCGGATACGGCTGGGGCGGTGCGGTGTGTTCCGGAGTGCTCCTAACGGTTAGTTAGAGACACTTGTGTGACTGGTTGGCGTAATTAAATTTATTGCATTAGGGGGCAAGGGGCGGCCAAAGTGCCGGGACAATAACTATTTGACTAACCGTTGTGCAGACATTTTGATAACTTTCAATTTGATTCCACTCTGCGGCGTCATGTTCGCTCAGCTGGAGGAAGTGCCTGGAGGAAGTGTTTTGCTTTGTGGCCATAATGAAATAAACTTGTCGCACAGTCGGCACAAGCCATTTGCCATTTGCCATTTGCCCGATGTCCTGTTGCCCAAAACTACATCCTTTGTAGGGGCTTTGGGGGGCGGAGGTCATGGCATCTTGAGTCTGGGATC